GGCAGTTGAGCTCTTTAAATGTCATATTTTGCTTTCGCCTCATTTCAGGATGTCATGTGCTCACGACATGTTGTTTACACTACCGAAAGCCAGACTGGTTAGTGCTGAAACCATAGTACACCTAGTTTGCCATGTGTTTAGAAATTTCACGGACGCCCAACTTTGCACCAGTGAGTATTGTGTCTGCGTTTCTTGTAGAAACTGGTACATTGGCCAAAGACTAAGAATGTTGTACCTGTTCTAATGTACAAGGTGTGAAGTGATTCGCCATAAAGTGCATTTTTTTTTCAGATTTAATTTTTGGCGCCAGGCTTGGAGATCTCCGCCACATGGCGTAAATCTTTTTAAGGGTTCCGTTCACATCGTAGCAACCTGGGATTTCATTGATTTCATTTTCACCGACGAAAAAGTTCAGGACTTTTTAAAGTTCCTTCCTGAGGTTGGAACTCCCGACGAAGCTCTCTTTGCGACAGTTAACCACAACACAGTCTTCAATGCTCCTGGGAACTTTCCATGTGAGTTACTTTCTTTGCCCCATCAACGACCAGGTCATGCAGTAGTGAGGTGGGGTGAATTCATATCCATTGAAAATGGAGTAATGCAGAAAACATTTCATTGCAATTAGGGAACTAGGTGAGTAGACGTAGTGAGATGCACAACAGACGGCAGACTGCGATCAATGGTATTGCAAGACTGATGTGTAAACTTTGCTAAGGCACCTGTGGCTAAGTTTGGACTTGGACCTGTCGATTGAGCTAACGCCTCATGTTTTCGTTCCACTCAACCGACCTTTTCATCGAAGTTCAGACGGCGACGAAGAGTACAGGAATGGGGGCTCCTACGTGAATCGTTGGAAGCGCTTCTTTCCTGAAGAATGCAGTGGCGTCTGGCGACACGCCGTGTGCATTTTCAATCTCCACGGCATGAAACCGCTCTTCACGCCCGATTCGCCGTACCTCTTTGTGAACAAATTTGTGATGCACATCAACGCCGACGTGATGAGCGTGACGGAGCAGTGGTTCTACGACTGGCAGGACTGGTACTACCGCCATGCCGACCAGAATATCACCAACCTTGACTACTATCGAAGCCTGCCACAGGTGCAATATCAGTCTGCGCGCAGAAACCAAAGTCCCTGAGTTACAATCTACGTGTAATTATACTTTTGTATACAGCCGATGCTGAGTGTTTCTCTTTCACAGAAAATCATGTAATTACGCAACCAGTACAGCTGTCAGTCTTTCCGCAAATATTGAAGGTCACATCTTCTCGGGATATCCCTATTGGAATCCGAATTGGAAACCATAGTGACAGGTGGTCGATTTAATAAGCGGGTGAACACGATGCCCATAAGTATGATGCGTTGTGAATAGTAGAATTTCCTTGATTCGTTCCTAATGATATCCACTGTGATCGATCAACACATGAAATTAATGCATCACAGCTACATTCCTCACTTTCTGTCGAAACTACCTTGAAGAATCGGAAATTTAAGTGGTTCTGAAGACCCATTGTGCATGGAATTGGCAGTGAATTGTTTTGCCCTCATTTCATCTTCCGTTCAGCTTATCTCTGAGACTTGGGAAGCACGAACCTCACTGATTGCAGGAAATAGAATCACCTTCGAAGTGCTTGAAGTATCGTGTTGTAGTCCCCTTTTATTAGCATTGGTACCAAGTTAGCGTATGTCTATTCCGTTCGCACCTAAGGGGAATATTAATTAACTGTAATCGATGAATAAAACCATTGTAGTCACACGGCAACGTCATGCTTGAATTTGATTGGACGACGTTATCGTGGCGACAAATGCCGCTCAAGCGATTTTGCTACTTGTACGTGTGTCGAGTTATCGCTTCTTTTTTGTTCCAACTTTGATTCAGCCTTCTACATTTACACTGACTTCTTTCGTTTTTACCAGTGGACACCACCAACGCATTGGTTTCAACCTTTTATTGCGAAGTTAATGCCAACAGGAAGTATCGTGTGATAAAAATACTTGTCCACATCTAACTATAGAAAATTGGCTTGCGTTTCGAAGTGGTGACCCCTCATTTTGACCTAAAGAAGGCGATTCTTTGTTTGAATTAGGTATCTCGCGTGCTTAAATCGTCAAAGCGATTAGACATGCAGTCCTTTTCTTCTGAATGCATTACCTGGTTTAGCTTCCTTACTCCAAATTTTAGATCAATCAATAACCATTTTCACAAACAGAGGCACTTCCACTAGCATTAAAAGTAATAAAATTTGACACCCAATATCTTATAACTTATATTTTCACGGCACGCTTGTTTATTAAATATCCGATTTTAATTGTGGACAATGCTAATGTCATGAAAGCCTGGATCTCCGAAGACAGTTTACAGCTTTTCGTGGGCCTCGGTGCGGTTTTAGGAACTACACCAGGGCCGACAATCTGCATTGACACGGCCCGATCGAAAGAAGAGCAGTAAATGCTGATGTAGCGTAGCTCAAGTAAATTTATTAAAGCAGTAGCAGTGTGTGTTTACAAGATAACAAGCACGTTTATATAACCTTGCTAAACATCGATCCCTGAACGAACACAGTTCGGTGAAGTACATTCACGTAAATCAATTGAATCATGTTCACTCCCGATTGCTAACTGCGTTCGCGTGCTGCTAATTAGGATTGCCGCATTCCTAGCACAACTCCCATCTACCGACAGCTGCGTCAGGATTAATCCATCTTGGCCCACTGATTCAGATAATCCACGTGCTACTGGATGAAATGTTTTGTTTTTGCAAAGTACCTACGTAGGCGTAATAGCAACGTGAATGCGGGCAGAAATTTAGGCCACGTTAACAGCTTTTCGCATTACTGAAGCCGAACAATGTGATGATCGAACGATATTTAGGAGAGTGCAGTCAGTTAACGGTTGCAGGACAAAGCAGTGCGGTAAGTTTAACAATTCCGACAGACTACTTGCGTGATATGTGAAAGGTGAATTGGGCTCCAGAGATTGCCGAGCAACCCGCTTAAGATAAAATTACTAATACATGTTCAAATAATCTCGAAGAAAGTGTTTTGTGCAAAATGAAGAAAAAATCCTTACCAACAGGGGCACGCAGGAATAGACGAAAGTGCCGCAATAGACAGGCGCCTTGGACACCAAAGCAACTTGCAAAAACTGCAAAATCGTCGTTAACGGTCGCGTATTATGCGGCCGTCATGATGCGGAATATTTTTTGCGTGTCACTAAGCAGGTTCTTCGACACACGCAAGTCATTCTACTACTTCAAATCGGCGAAATCGTTGCCGATGGAGTCTACTGCTCGTTAAGAAGGTGCGCCATTCATTGCCACCCTGAGATGCAGATGAAAAGGAAATAGTGCCTTTAGCGTGGAATAGGTTCACTTGCCACTGTGGCTCCCGATTGAATGTCTGGTTGTGGTTGTGTATTGACTGATGATTGCTACTTTAGACTACAGTGGACAGAGCCACGAGTTCAAATCTCGTCGAGCCACTTCAATCGTGGTGGCTGAACCGATTCTCGACGTAGCATCACATTTCTGAAATTCGACGCAAATGTTGGGCTAAGTGTATTTGGCATCAATTTCTGTGGTAGCAGGCACTGTGACTGAAGGATGAGGCTGTGGGGGCAGCCTGGGGCACCCGGGAGCGAAGTGCTGCCCACCAACACTCCCGAATTTGATTAACTCAGTACGCGCAAGCTGAAAAGCATCCCCCGAACCCTTTCGGGCGACGTCGTACGCGTGAATCACGTGACCTACGTTAGAGCCCTTGGTGCGTGGCCAGACAACCAGATGCGTGCGTGTTATTGGTTGAGGCAAAACAGCCACTCAGATGCGCATCTCAGGTCGCGTTGTGTCGAATCGCAAGTCAGTGTG